AGACCCGCTTCGAGTTTGGGTCAACCCAAACCCGAAATTTTTGGGTTAGGTTCGGGTCGGGTCCAATATTGACAGGTCTAGCTGAGCCTACTAGGCATTGAGGAGTGAAGCTCACCATTTTTTTGAGATTTGAGTGAGCGTAGCGGCATTGTGGTCTTGATTGCCACAAAGCAGGGTCTGAAATTATTATTTTAAATAAAATATGTAAAAATGTTGTATTAAAACCCCTCACCAAAGCCATCCCCTTCCCAATTCTCATGAATGCTGAGTGAGAGAAGAGAGAGAAGAGAAGAGAAAGGAATAAAATAAGAAAGAAAGAAAGAGAGAAAGTAGGGATCAATTGATATTTTTCATTGCTCCAATTGTGAAAAGTATTCTAATTGTGGCAGATGACCTTAATCCTACTTCTATTTTCAACAATTTTGAGTTTTGTCTATTTCTTCCTCGTGAAATTGATAAAAATATAACATCTTACGTTTAGTAAACTTTCACTATGTAATTTTTTGATACGCGGCATATTTCTTCACCTTAAATATTTTGACTTGTTCATATTAAAAGTTAATTTGTTAGTTTTGCATATATGTTATTTCATTTTAAATGGGTAGAGTGATGTTGGGTACAAAATGATCAGGAGTTAACACACTGCATTTGGGTACGAAATATATAATATGCATTGATTTACTATTCATATGATATAACATGCATTTTGATATAATATATGCATATTGACGAGCACACTGGATAGACCTACATGTTATATAATCACTGCATATATATGATATACACATAATGTTTCTTTTGCTTGAATTACTAACATAAAAAAAAAAGTTAAAAAAAAAAAGCATTTTCCATAAAAAAAAATCTTAGGTCATTCTACAGAGTCCTTTCTTATCTTAGCTTAACTATAAATCTTAATCTAAACCTTAGACTAGGTTGGATATAAAAGAGGCTTAGAAGGACTATATGATTTTCTCAAAGTAGAAGTGATCATAGGAAGAAACTTTGTGTGATGCTGTAGAATCTAATGGAATGATTAAATACCTAATTCTAAAATTATAACTCAACCAACAACAGAGAAAACCAAAATTATTACAAAATTCAAATAAAAGCAATGCAATAATAATATTTCATTTCATCAAAAAGTATATGTACAAAAAATAAAGTGCTACACCATTGGGGTCACCTCTTGAACCCTATATGGGATAATGTGCTACATGGTGTGAGCCACTGCTTAAACTTATAGGGGATACATCTAGAATCCTATCTATTTGGTGGATGACTTTGGGATAAGAATACTAATGAGGAAGTCAATTACTTAAGTAGAGGAGATTATGAAACCATGTAAGTAAAATAAGTTGAACTCTTAAACATCGAGGCACCTTTTTGGCCTAATGGTTGGAATTTTGTTAAGAAAGGCTAAGTGGCCATTAGGCCAAAGTGGATAATATCTTGATGGTTAAGAGTTTGAATTGTTACACTTTGATCCATGGGTATGTCTTTCATTAAGGAAACCCACTTTTATACTCAATTTTGATTAGTCTTAATAGACATAATAAATGGTAAGAGTATCAATCCTCTTCTCAGTTAATCAGTTACTTTATCAATGTAATGAAATTAATTATAAGAATTTTTGTAGGTTTATTGACATTAATCTGATTCACAATTTGGGTGCGACCCTAATCAAGCAAGGAGTTGGGCTAATTAGGGAACGTGCATTGGGTCAAGGTGAACCCCATTCAAGCATTGATTTTGCTTGGTGGAGCATGGGGTGGAAATGGCTCAGCCTAAGGTGTCTTTGGACACTTTGAGCTAGCCTAAGTCTTATCCTGAGCTGACCCAGTGGTTGGCCAGGACGCAATAGAACCCTTGGTTGGGTTTAATATTTCCTTAAGTTGGGTTTCAACTCATGAAGAGCCCTCTTTGGATGCTTGGGTTAAACCATATGAATAACCCAAGTGAGCCCAAGGGTTGGTCTTCAAGGGGACCCCTTTGGGACCCAATGAACCATTTTAAGGGTTTAGATAGGCTTTGCAACGCCTAAGGTGTTGAATTTGGTTTGATCAACCATGGTTGACTTGGTTATCCAAGTCAACCCATATGTCTTACAATCTATTTTCCAAAATTATTACTCTAATACAACAAAAGCTTGTCACAATCCCATCAAAAGGATAGGTCATGTCATGTTGAGCTATGATAGGCTAATCCCAATATCTTATTTTAAAAATATTTTATATTCTCTTTTAATATACATTTTAAACAAACAAGTGACTATAGAGGTACTAAAATATCTAGAGTACTAAAAATAAATTCATCCATAAAATCTCGTTCATTTCATCAAAATGTATATATAGGATCTACTATAATACATGACTATAAAATAGAGAGCATAACAAAATATAATCAAAGTTAGCCATGATTATATAAAAATTAAAATAGAGAAATACCTATAAACTCATATCATATCTTAGATTGTTAAACAACATGCTCATTTCTTTTCGTATATCTTGAAACCATAATATAAAATCATTGTGAGTTATAACTACTCAATAGGCCACAAACACTGATCTAAATTTCTATTTCTTTATTAAATAATTCTAGAATATTTAAATGTTGTAACAAGTCACTGTGCTGAGTGAGGTAATAAGAGCATAACAATTATCCAAAGATTCAAATAATAATACTGAGTAGTTAATTAAACTAAAGTTTATATCACATAATAGTTCATATTAATTTTTTGTATACCTAGATAAATCTCAAAGGATTTTGGCCCATTATAACTTACTTTATGCTTATAGTATCAGAACATACCCTAGACACCATAACATGACTTATAAACACCAGAATTTGGCTTATTAGCCATTATATATATTATATAGGCACTAGATTTCTAGATTACAGATATAATCTCAAAAGATTCTAATCTCTTATATTTCCTAATAGAAATTTTTTATATAAAATAATCATATAAACACACATTTTATCACATGATAGTAATTTAAGAATAATTAAGCACATTTCATAATTGCATACTTTTCTATAACGATAGATAATAGATCTAAGTAAAAATATACAGTTTTAAAACATAACCAAATTATCATATATTATATAAAATATCATTTTAAGATTGTAATCATACTACAATATTATTTTCAGAGTCCAAATATTTTTTATTTAATAAAAATCACCTAATTTGTAAAACCATATTTCACAAATTTTCAAAAGATATTTAAAATATTAAAAATCTTAATCTCTATAATATATAAAAAGTTATGCAATTAAAGTTTCTCTGGTGCAAAGTTATCATCTTTTTTTTATAACAAAAATATAAATTTATTTAGAAATTTTGAAAGAAAATATCATATTTTTGAAAATTGATATTGACATTTGCCCTATCTTAATTTGTATAACTTTTCAAACTAGGCTAACTACTAAAAATGATGCAAAGCTGCCCAAAATCCCTTTCATCTCTCTCAAATTTCCTCTCTTCTCTCCTGGTCGATGACTACAGTGCTCAAAATGAATGAAATTGTGGATTTAAAGTAGATTTAAAGTGCAATAATGATCAAGTGCTTTGGCGCCATCATTTAGTGTGGTGGCACTAGTTCAAATTCCAAAAATTTATCCAACTTCAAATCATTGAAAACTATACTGAGATTCAGGTTACTTATAAAGATTAAAAGACTTTTTATACTATAAGCCACATAAGAAAATGACCAAAACATGCTTTCTCTCTCTTTCTTATCTCCTATTCCTCTCTCCTTCCCTCTCTTCTTCCCCGACAAGTCGCCAAAATAGGGGTGTTGAAGGCATAGGTTGGTGTTTTAGTGCTTAGGATTTAGAATAAAATGTTATATAAATTAATGTTAGTGATATTTTTAATATAATTTAGAGATTTTGATATCATAAAAAAATAAAAATATTTAATATTCGATATATAATTACATAAAATTTATGATATATGTGTAAATAAAAAAATCTTGTTAGGATATATCAACCAAAAAATTGTAAGGTTGAGCTTTAAACTCTTTGAATATATTTTAAGATGAGTGCAATTTATAAATAACTTGTAATACAATATTCCCAAAGCAAATTTGAAAGTTTTAAGGTGGATTTATATACATAGCTCTTAAAATTTCACAATCTACATATTTAATATCTAAACTTCATTATTTGTATACATAACACTTGACATTTAATAACAATAACATGTGCTCATAACCTCTTAAAATTGCAAACACCATTAAACCCCATAATGACTTTACCGTCTTTGCAAGTTGATGATCCTATTGCGACTTTTGCATGCCGCTAGTCCAGCCCCAGTTTCACATGTTTTTGGCCTTGTTAATCTAAGATCATTGTTAGGACCTACATGCAAATCCTCATCACAACTTCTAGCAAAATCCTTATGAAGACCTTGAGTGAGATTCGTGGTAGGACCTCCAATAAGATTCCTATTTTAACCTCTTATAAGAAGCCTATCACAAACGATAATTGCGGACGTCGAATGTCGTCCGGAGACCAACCAGAATGTAGCACGCCACCCCCATTTGCTCGGTACCACGACTCAATACCACTGACGTGACGCATTCTGATTAGTCTCCAGACAGCATTTTGCGTCCAATCTCCGCGCATAATAATTTCTCATCACAAACACCTCATATCCAATCTTAAACAAATTGTAAAATTAGGATTTCATCATTAATTGAATTAAGAGGGTCATATAATATTTAAATAATAAAGATTAAATTTTAAACATGTAACTAATAAAATTTTGAATTTACATATATATATAAAGTATAAACCTCATAAATTTTAAATCTCTTTCTAATCAAAATTTTGTGTGAGAAACCTAATTTTTTCCCGTGTATATACCATCATTTTAAAATTATATTATTATTCAAATGCGTATCTGACCCTTTTGTAATCTTTTACGGGACAGCATTTTCGGCCCGCTTTCTTTACCTTTTTTTTTTCCCCTTAATTTTGATTTATAAATTGCCCTCTACGGTGAAGATTAAAGATAAAGGTGGTTCCACGGAATTAAAAAAAAAATCCGAGGAAAAAAAATCGCAGAGTAGTGCGCAAAATATTTCTGCGATTCTCCCATTTTCATCGAAGAAGTCTTCAGCGTCAGGAACTCATTCGGAAAGAGCTAGGGTTTATTTTCCACTTTTTCCTATCAGGCTTTCCTTATTTTTCGTATTTCTTAGGTCATTTTCCATGGAATATCGCAGATTTTCTCAATTTCCCTAAAAATTTGAAAAAGAAATTGATTTTTTGGGAGCCTCTCAGGTTTTCTTTAGTTTTTACTGAAAATATTGTCATTGATTTATGCATTTTTTATGTTGTCCTCTTATTTTATTTTCCCCGAAGACTAAAATTTATTTTGCCCTCCCCCCGTTTTTCCCTTGCACTGTAAATTAACAGCTCTTGCTGCTGCTTCTGCTTCTATTTTCATAATCTACGACTAGGGTTTAGGGTTTGTAAGATGTTTTTTCATCTACTTGCAGTTCAAATCAACTTTTTTTTTTAAAAAACAACTTCGTTTGCTTTTTTGCAGCCAAGTTTCCCTAACGAAATTGTCTTGTCGCCTTCCCAAATCTTTAAGATTGAAGTTATACTGTTGCTGAGGGTTTGGAACTGAGCTTGAGTTTCGATTCCTGTTGATGCGATCGAAAGTCTCGAACTTTGAATCATGGAAGTGAGATCTGAGCAACCTTTCACTATGAACATGCAGAAAAGCCCTGTGGCTACTCATCCCTCCATATCGGGTATGCGGCTCATGTTCAGTCCCGAGGGTTCTGCCATTTTTAAGCCAACTACGACCAGCTCGAACTCAAGCCCAGCTTCTCCCTTTCATGGAGGAAGTACCGGTGCCGGTAACCAACCTTCTCCCTTTCATGGAGGAAGCTCTGGTGCGGGCAGTCAACCTCCTCCCTTTCATGGAGGAAGCAGTGGCGCCATTAGTCAACCTTCTCCCTTTCATGGAGGAAGCGCTGCTCCAGTTGGCCTCACTGACAGTAGTGGCGGTGGTGATGGGACCTTGGCTGCGCCCGTGGTGTCCATTCATGGCCTAAATGCTGGCAGCCATGGTGAGCAGATAAAGAAGAAACGGGGACGACCAAGGAAGTATAGCACAGATGGATCCATGTCACTTGCCCTAACCACAGTTTCCCCAACCTCCGCAGCATCGCCTGGCAGTGCAGTGTTTTCTTCACTATCAGCAGGGCAACCAAATGCAGGTTTTTCAATTTCTGGCGATCCCATGAAGAAGGGAAGGGGAAGACCTCCGGGATCCTCAGGGAAGAAGCAGCAAATGCTGGCACTTGGTAATTTGTTTTTGGGTTTGTCTTTCTTTTTCCAGTTGTTTCTGTTTGTAATGACGTTTACAATTATTTTTCGTTTTAATAATCTTGAAATGTTGGATCTTTGAATTATTTTGGTATTGAGGAGATATGAAGGGATTAATGGGTTGGGTGGGCTGGGTTGTTCCGTTAGGTTTGAAGAAGGGAAAATAGCTATTTTGATTTGGCAGATGGATCATAGATTTGGTATTTAGGAAAGAAAATAAGTAAATTACTATTTCGCCATTCTTTTTGTTTTTTCTGGGTAGACTTGGCTGTGCTTCTGTTTTTTTACTAAATGCTTGTATTTGTTCTTTGGCAGATAAATTATAGCGTCTAAAGTGAAGTGCAAATAAGCTTTAGCGTAGTTGTTATCTCCAGGATTTATAGTTTTTTAATTTAATACTCTGAAGATTGAATTGTTCAGTTGAGTTTATGTGCTGTTTATTGTACTTGTCCGTTGTTCTATCAGTCATTTTGTGCCATCTTATCCAGTAAAAGATGAATTAAAAAGTAATTTATTGACCCACATGCTTCTCTTAGATAAAAATTCCATCATCATAACTTTGTCCTTGTTGTTGGATTTATGAATCCTAATAGAAAGTTTAATTTTTAATTTTTTCTACTGATAATTGAGTTATGTTACCCAATCAAAATAATCTGTATATAATTTCTTTATTTTCATGGACATTTCATTTAGATTCTCTATAATCTTTATGTAAATAGATTTAGGGTTTAATAACAATGACATTAAATGGTCTCTGCCATATAATTCATGGTTTGATTTTATAAAATTTGAGATATTTGTTCTTAAGCTTTTGTTTCTAAAAAATATTTTCTTGCAGGATCAGCTGGGTCTGGATTTACTCCCCATGTTATTACTGTTAAGGCTGGAGAGGTATTGCTTTAACTCACCTTTTAACTGATATGTTGTGTTGGTTTTAGATGTTAAGCATGCAGTTCACCTACTACCTTCATGATTCTTATTTGAAAATTTTGATAAATTCTCCATGGCTGTAGTTAGAGAATTCTTTTAGTCGGGGACTATTCTAAATAGTAAATTTTGAAACGACACTATTAAACTAAAAAATTGTAATGTTGATTATATATATAAAGTGGTTGAGAAGGGTCCGTGGGAATCCATAGTCGTGTGGCTCTTGCTTCAATGTCCTGTGTAAGAATCATCCATGTTATTGGGAGTCTCATGCGAGTCAAATATCAATGTGACTGTAAAATTATATTGTTCTAAACTGAATTAAGCATATGTTATTTGAAGCATTTATGCTTGTTCTTATTTATATATTAAGTTGTGCAGAAAATTTTTTTTGGGTCACTTCTGGTGATCTTTGCAGCTCTTCATCTGTAGTCATTTAGAATATTTGTAGGTTTTATGGCATCCCTTCAAATAAATCATTTGATTTTATTGTGATAAATGAATATTAATTGATTTTTTTTGTTCAGAATATGTATTGCTTAACAAAATTTGACCGTTGTACATGATTGATTTCACTGCTATTGTATCTCATTTATCTTTATTATTATTTTTTTCTTCTTCTTTGTTACTATTAGTAAGGGTGAATTAAAGCAAATCATATTGAATATTGAATGCACTGGCACCACCTTAATACATTCTAACATGATAGTTGATGCAGAGTATTCATTTAATAGATCTCTTGAGCATGCGATCCTTAAAAACTTACTGTTCCTTAGTTCTTAAAATCATAAAATTTTCTGTTTCATTTTCTACCTTGCTCTTTTATTATCGTCTGCCCTGAGCTTTTTGTGTAAACTAATCAATAGCAATCAACAGGGATTATAAGGGATTCCTTTTTGGTCCTTTGGCTGTTCTAAGTTATTTTCAATTGTGCCTTTTTTTATAATATTTGAAATGGTAATTGAAATGTTAAATTGCTTAAGCTCATATTTTTCTTGTTGATTCCAGCTTTTTTGATTTAATATAATTCCAAAAAAAAGTATCATGAGCGTATTTTCAATGCAACTCCCAAGCAGTAATCAATGTCTTATTTGATTCATGAAAGAAAAAAAAAAAAAGATTTAAGATTTTCCAATTTCCACTGATGATTCAAATGGCATTTTTTCTTCTATTGATGGATAGCTTCATTTTGTGAATGCATTGATCTGATTGGATGGTAAATATGTAATAATAGTAGAATTTTAAATTATGTGTTCTTGTTACCCAGGATGTATCTTCCAAAATCATGTCTTTCTCTCAGAATGGGCCTCGTGCTATTTGCATTCTTTCTGCAAATGGCGCTATATCTAACGTGACGCTTCGCCAGGCTGCAACTTCTGGTGGAACAGTAACTTATGAGGTTTGCTATTTTTTTTATTTCATCAATTTCCATTTTTGAAGTTGAATCTGAAATGATTTGTATCTTATATCAGTTTACATAGTTGATTCAAGTGATTTTTTCTTCCCGTTTCTACCAGCAATGTCATGGAGTTTTAGGCTTCCTTTGGAACGACTTTCTTACTGCTTCTTAAAGCAGTTTTGTAGCATAAAAATTAAAAAATTTATATTAAAAAGCTGCTTTAAGAAGCAATAAGAAAGTCATCCCTAACAAAACCTTAATGTCCAAGGTTTTGGTTACTATAAATACCATATAACAATTTTCTAGTCAGAACTAGTTGGCGATATTATATTTCCATTGGCTGAGATTTTTTATGATTGTGTTCATATTCCTTAAATTTAGGGTCGATTTGAAATACTGTCACTTTCTGGTTCGTTCCTTCTATCTGAGAATGGCGGTCAGCGCAGTCGAACTGGCGGCCTGAGTGTTTCATTGGCTGGTCCTGATGGCCGAGTTGTCGGTGGTGGGGTGGCTGGTCTTCTTACAGCAGCATCTCCTGTTCAGGTCAGCTTTTTTTCTTCCACGTACCATGGTATCTTTGAATATAAATCTTATTGAAAACATTGCATGTATTCTTTTCTTTACTTGAAAAAACTGGTTTCAATTCAAGGAAAACAAACTAGTTCAGTTTCTGCAATTTGTATTTGATTTTTCAGCTTCTGATCTCCTTGAAACTCTTGTGCTTAAAATTGTGTAGAGTACTGAAATAAAGAAGGCTTTTGTATACTCCTTGAAACTCTCCTGCATGTTCACAGGAATCCCAGCTATCCCATTTGTTATCTTTAGTGATTGAACTATATTGATTTGAGGTTCTTCTTGACTTGTCAGGTTGTGGTGGGAAGTTTTATTGCCGACGGGAAGAAAGAGCCAAAGCATGGTAATTTCGTCAACACTTTATCAACATCCTCAAAGCTTGCTCCTGCCGACGGCGGCGGCGGTGGAGGCTTGACGGTTAGCACGAGCAGTCCACCCTCCCGCGGAACTGCGAGTGAGTCGTCTGGTGGCCCTCCTAGTCCTCTGAACCAAAGCTCTGGAACTTTTAACAATAGCAGTCAACTGGGCTTATCAAACATCTCATGGAAATGAAAATGAAGTTGACTGTCATGATATTTGTAACCCTTACTGCAGTCTTTGGTACCTTGGTTTCTTCTTTCATATGATGTAGGTCTACTTGTTTCTATTGTTGTGTGAGATTTATTAGAGAAGAGAACTTTAGTGGTTTAGTGTTTTAAGGGTGAAGATGTTTTATTCTCTGTAGATTTATGCTGTTTGACCTTGTTTTAATCTATATGATGAACAATTAGTTGATTAAGTGATTCTCATTCTGAATGCTTCTCTTGCTTTATTGAAGCATAGGTTGGTAATGAATTCAAATGAGCTCTTAGTGGTATTAGTTTTCAGAATGATTGATTTGAACTTCAAATTGAATTATTGTTTGAAGTACATTATGACTTCCATTATGACTTTGGCTTCGTTTGGGACGGCTTTATGATTATGACTTTGGCTTTGTTTGGGATGTCTTTCTTATTGTTTTTTAAAGTAGATTCTGTTTAAAATTTTTGAACTAAAAAATTATTTTAAGAAGCAATAAGAAAGCCGTCTCAAATGAGAAGTTTTATTTGGTTCGGTCAACCGAATGAGAGAAACATTCGGTCGTAGGCAAAAATTCCGCGGTACCGAGGTGTACCGAGTTTTTCAAAAAACTCGGTACACCTCGGTACCGCGGGATTTTTGCCTGAGAACCGAATGTTTCTCTCATTCGGTCGGAGGACGTAATAATTGTTCCTCAAATGAAGCCTTTATTTGGTACAACTTTTTTAATGCTTTATGAAACAATTGTTAATAAAAAAATTTTTGAATTTAAATTTTTTATATTAGAAAGATGTTTCACAAAGCAAAGCAGTAAGAAAGTTATCATAATCGAAGCCTATAAATGAAATTATTATTGCTTATTTTATGAGATGAGGATCAAAAGGATCTTTTAATATTTTAATATAGTTAAGATTTATTTTGATGTCTTAGAAAGAATCAAGGGATTAATATGGTGATTTTCTTCTTATTTTATTGATCGAACATTGCATAGAATTAAATTCATGATATTTGATAGTATATTTATTTATATAATAACTTATGCTTAAATCATATTAAAATAAATATATAAAAAGATAATATTAATTGATTTTTATGTGATTTAAAATTTTAAAATGTTATAAAAATCCTCTGGCTATAATGTTTTTTGACTTTTTCAAATAAATTAAAGTGGTATGGTGATCATCAATTAAGGTAAGATACGTATGACGCTTCCACTATTTATCCACAGCCCATGCATTAATTAATAATTATCACACAACATGAACGACATGTGTTGCATGGACTTTGGCAGAGAAAAAAAAATTATATTAAAATCTTCTTACTTAGTCACTTAGCCTTGTTTGGGATTCTTACTACTACTCAAAATAAATTTTTTGAATTAATTTTTTTATTAAAAATATTTAAAAATAATAAAAAATAATCTTAAATAAAATTTTAATTTATTTTAATATGAGTTTAAGTGTCTCTAAAAATGTTAAATTTGAAATACTTTTCCCCTATTTTAATTTAAATTTTTAAAATTCATCTAATTAAAGTTTGATCACAAAATTTCTCGATTCTTTTTGCAGCAAAGAATATAGGAAACACTAGTAAGTTAAACTGATAAAGATCCACCTGTAGGGGAATGAGCGTCAGATGTCCTCGTTTTATCTCCATCTACCGCCGATCAAACGATGCTTCACCGGAACTCTAATATGTTGCCATACCTCGACGAACCCTCTTCTCTCTGCATTTCCTCAATCATGGAGACCGCAGAGATCGGCGATGGGGATATCTGTTGTTACCATGAGGGATCGGAGCAAGAACCGGAAGCCGACGCAGAGGGGAAGGTACCTAAGCATCGAGGGTATCCAAGCCGTCCAAGCTCTTAAGAAAGCGAAGGTAAATGGTGGGTTAGATGCGGTGGCACATGAAATTGAGACAAAGGTCCGGCGGCTGGTCAAGTTTGATCTCGTGGCCGTGCTTCGTGAACTCCAATGGCAGGGAGAGGCCATCTTGGCTTTCCAGGTTTGTATAGGCTCAGTTCTTTGACATTTATTTATTTATTTTTCGCTTCTCCATTTTTTGTTCCTCTCTTTATGGTTTGGTGTAACATGGTTGTTCAATTGAGGTTATCATGAATAAAACTGTTATTAGTGGAACTTACTTGCTAATTGAATGCCCAGAGAGAGAAAGGGAGGGAGTGAATTATTGGTTGCGGGGAAGGCTCGTAGTGGTTGAGGGAGGCATGGAGAAAATTTTGCAGTTAGTAGTTGTGTTGGAAAGAGTGGGAAAGGCACAAAGAGGGGAAGGGAGAGAGGGTTTCTTGAAGCTGTGCTAACCTATTTTGTAGTAGTGTGCCTAACACCGTCTCTTGGAACCATGTAAACCTATGATGAGGTTGGAATAGAGTGAGAGAAAGAGATAGTGAGAGTGCCTTGGTGCCACCTAACTAGGTTGACATGATTTTAGGAACACGCAATTCTGATGAGTTTGAATAATGTTAAATGCTTGAGCTTTTTTTTCCACATTTGTGGTTAATAAATATGATATGGGCTTTTTTTTCCTCTAATGAATATTGTGCGTACAAGACCTGAACAAGAGTCATGTCACCTATCCTATTTTTTGTTTCAATGAAGATGCATTGATGTTTTGGCGCTTTCATCTGGTGTAACTAATTTACTAAGGAATGTTATCATTTCTTAGAACTTCCTAAAAGTGTTTATTAAGCTAGTAGACAATGTGATATTTGCACAATTTTTTTACCATTTAATATGTGATTCCTTTAAATTTATATTTTTATGTTTTAAGTAAGCATGACTACTTTTTTTCATATGAATGTTGATGAAAACTTATTGTTATGCTTTTTTATCTTTTGTCAAATTTATTCAGAAATTTATATATGAAGTTTTTGAATTTATACTTCCTGAAAATGACATGAATGCTTAATCACTTTTCTCATCAATTTAAGAAAAAAATGTGTTTGGACACCCTGGTAGGTTTTTGAAGAGTTGCGGAGGGAACATTGGTATAAGCCTCAAGTGTCAATCTATGTTGATATAATCTCGGTATTGGCAAAGAGTGGATTATATGAGAAGGTTGAGCAAGTGTGTTCATATTTGAAGACAGAATGTTTGGAACCAGATACTGAAGGGTTCAATTTACTTATGAAGACTCTATTAGAGTATGGCTTTACCCAAACAGCCATGGATTGTTTTCGCTTGATGAAGCTTTGGGAAAGTGAGCCCGATGAACATACTTTTAGGATACTGATAAGTGGACTTGAGTCTAATGGTGATAAGGATAGTGCTATTGCTATAAGAGCTGAAGCAAAAAAACAACTTGGCAGGACTTTGGAGTTCTTTGAAGAATAGCATAAGTTAGGTTCGTCTGTTGATATGGTCAAATATTATAAGAAGTTACTTAGGAGCCATAAATTAAATTATTTGTGGACTGAAAAGAGTTAATGTATGAGAACAATGATTTTTATGCAATTCTTTTTTGTTTAATATCTATTTTACTCTAGATGTAATACATAGATTTTGGGCCTTTTGGCGTTTTGTTGATGTTTGGTTATGGATTTGTATTTTTTTATCCAATTCATTAATTTTAAACAAAAATTCTATTCACCGGTAATTCTTGTATAGTCTCTCTTATATTTTAATTCCTTGAAAATAATCAATTTGGTTCCAATTTGGGATGAAATTTGTTAGTGTTTGATTTTTAACGTGAAGGTCTGAAATGGTGAATGCTTGAGAGGATTCTCATGTTTTTTCCCCCTATGCTTACTTTTTTAATTTGTATGTAGAGCCAAGTATGGATGCTTGCACATATATTTTATATTCAGCCATAAAAAAAATGCCACAAACATATGAGAAGTGACTTTGATGTTGAGATCCTTGTAGCTACTTGATAATACTTGGTTTGTCATGTATCATGGGATCAAAACTATGGCATGACATTCTCATCAATTAAATTATAATAGAATGGTTAGGATATAGTATTATTCTTCAAAGTTTTTATAGTGTTCACATGAAATTGTTTTGATTATCCCGGATTGGAGATGAAAGTTACTGGTGATATAGGATTGTATTGTATGTGAATTGGGCTAAAGAGAACCTGCTAATGAGAGAAATATGGAGACTATAGAGATTATGCTTTAAAGAGAGAGTCCTAAATGATTAATAAAACTAGATATTGTAACTTTACCCAAATTAAGAGAACCTTGGTTTGGTTTGCACCACCTTTGCTCTTGCTTTGATCTTTATTGTATGCTTCTTGCTATGCTTGCTTCCTTCTTCTTCTCCTTGGCTTGATAAAATCTCCTTCGAAGCTTCTTGCATTTTCTAGAATGCACATTTCCTCTTTCATTTTTGTACCAACTAGAGGGAATAGAGAGAGTGTATATGTCTTGGAGGGAAAGAGAGAGAGTGTGGTGTGGCTTAATTTTGAGATTCAAAACCTTAGTGTGTCCGAAATTTGCAATTAGGGGCCTAGGGTTTGGTTGTGGTTCAACACAACTGCATCGGCTTTTTGAAATAATGGAATTCTTGAAATTCTAGTTGCAACATGGAAAACTAAATATAGAGCAAGGTTTAAAATTGCGCAATTGAGTATTGAGACACTTTTCGTTCGTGAGGCGAGGCGTAAGCCTCAAGGCAGTTAGCCTCAAAATCTAAAAATTACGTAAAATAAAAAAAAAGTTAAAAGTGGTTTTTTTATATAATACTCAAATAATATGTTAAAAGATGACATCTTAACTTTCTGTTGAACTATGAAGTAACAAATTTACATACATATGAAAAAAGAAAATTGCATAAGATGTAAAGTGATAAGTGATAAATTATAGGAAAAAATAGAATTGAAATCCAAATATTATAGAAAAAAATAACATAAAATATATGAATTATATATGAATTGCATAAAAATATCATATAACATCAAGTTCAGCTTTAAATTCTTTTTTGTCTCAGTTGCCTACTTTTCTACATTTAATTTTCTAAAGAAAGTTGAAACAATTGGCAATAACTCAAAAATCTTTTGTACTATCATTACTAAGGGGATTTTTATTTGAGTCATTGTCATAACAAATTGGTCTCTCCCTTGCTTCATCCTGTAAGGTCCAATACCTCTCAATCTGCTTCTCCTTCAATTATTTCAGTCATATTTATATTTCATAAATATTTGTCGTCAACATACATATAAGAGTAATTCTCCAAAAATTATAAAGGAGATGGTGGTGGCGTGCGGCTTTCAAGTAATCCCCTTCGATGGCTACGACGGTGTTGGCTACAACGAAGATGGTGGGCTGGAGGTTGAGGCAGTTGAAAGGAAGTTGCTGCAACTTGAGGGTGCAAGAAGGCATGATATTTTTGGGTCTTTTGTATAGAATTTATGTAAGTTTTAAATAAAAAAATACATAAACAAAGTGAGGCGTACGCCTCATGCCAGCAAAGAGAGGCACGCCTCAAGGCGGGCCTCAGCCAAGATGAGGCGTAAGCCTTATATAAAAAGCTGGAAGCTTTAGCCTCGAGGCATTTTTCTCTGGAATTACGCTGAGGCCGGCCTCAAGGCAAGCCTCATATTGTAGATATTTTTTTGGTGATGACTTTTGAAATCATTATTTTGAAGAATATTATGATAAAAATGGAATTATAGATAATTTTTAGCGCGTAGAACTCCCTAAGAGAATAAAGTTATTGAAGGAAGAATAGACTCTAGTTGAATTAACATATAAATATTGAATGAATATAAATTAATAAAATATTTTTGAACAGAAGAAATCTAAAATAGCTTGTTATATGATCTATATGGTTAGTCTTAAGTTAATATTAAAGAAAACTCTATATGAGTTTTTTTTTTTTTTTTTGAAGAAAGAAACTTATGATTGCTCACCTTTATATTATTGAGTATGAGAAGATAAGAAAATTTGATGATAAATTGGATGCTGATATATTTTTTGGATATTTAATATCTAATGAACTTATGTAGAATTTGATGAAAGTATGATTGATCGAAATATTAACGATATAGAAGTTGAAGATATTAATAAAATGAGAAATCTAAATCTTGATGACAAAATTAATGGGAAGAAAGCAGATGACTCTCTATCATCAATGAATGAGATATTATCAGATTCATCCTCTGAATTTAACCATAAATGATTGCTTTCAAGGAGTCAGGAATGGGAGACATATTGGGGAAGTGATTGGTTTTTTAACATTTATATCAGAAATTGAAACAAAGAATATCAGTGAAGTTTTGAAAAATCAGTTTTAGATTGGTGTCATGAAAAATGAACTAAATTAGTTTTTGAAGAAATGATGTTTGAGGATTATTCCCGAGATCTCAAGATTATATTGTTATTGGAATTAAATGGGCATATAGAAATAAATTAGATGACTCGGATTATATTGCTAGAAATAAGGATTGGAGAGTTGTGCATGATTATAGTAAGATAAAAAATAGAGATGTTTTGAAGAATCCTTTGACCCGGTAACAATCTAGTGCCTATTTGATTTCTCATTGCTTGTGCCTGTTATAATGATTTTATACTCTTCCAAATTTAAGAGTGCATTCTTAAATGGGTTTATATATTATGACTTGTTTTGTTAGAAAAACTCTTGGGTTTGAGAGTATTGATATTATGATATTGAAATCTCTTTATGGACGTAGTGTGTTGTAGTCATCCAACTGATGTGATTGTTTCAATGTAGTATGTTGCTACCTTTCTTGAATAGTAACCATAATGAATACGTCATAATAGCCAAATTGAGAGGACCTCTCTTAGTTGACTTGCTCCTCATTTATTCTTTCTTGGATCTAGCCTTCCTTTCTCTCCTTGCTTCATTTGTCTTCTTCTTATCCTCCACATCCTTGCCTTGATAAGACTTTCTTTAAAACCTCTCCTTCCTAGAATCCACCTAATTTTTTTCTCTTTCCTCTTTGGCTCTGGTAAAGAGATGTTATATACATATATATAAGTATATATTTAATAACTTGGCTTATCTAAACAAAGGCTATCTAGGCTTGGATGAATTGCAGTCAAATTTATCTCACTTTTCTTGACGTGCGAGCCCTTAGATTTTGGACTCTTGAATCTTGCACTTGAATTCAAGTCCTTAAGTTCCTTAATTTACATGTTGCCCCTTATATAGCCTCCTTGTAGCCTTGTATATTTCATTCTAACTTAACTTCAGGTCTGAATTCTAACTTGACTTTAGGCTTGTAGTTGAGCTTGATTTTCGGCCAAATATGGCCGAGTTTGTCAGCCCAATGTTAGTGCGCCATTGTCATATTATCTTGGCTGGTTGGGTAGCCAAATCAGCATTCATTGCCTTTTGGATTTCTTGGGGAGTTCATTATTCCAGTAATGTTTAGAAGAACCATTGTAAATGCATAGTATCGTGTAAATATTTCAATTGTTATACATATTACTTGTGCTTTGAGTACTGTCAGAACTCCATGCCATTCATTGGCGAAAAAGGGTTGGGCTATTTTTTCCTTATTTTCCTTCCAAAGGCCATTATATAGTTTTGAATGGAAACAGTAAATTAGCTCCAATGGAAAATAAGGATTCATAACAATAACTCCAAACAATTTTAATAATACCAATTGATGAAGGCAGTAGTATTATACACTTTAAAGCACTTTATAGAACACACTTCCATTCTTCTTCTCTTATATACCTTGCAGGTTACAAAAGATGGATTACTCAAAGTAGCATGTCGAAAGCAGATGCTTGAAGTAAAAGACTTCATCTTTGCTCATTCACAAAAAAAATAAAAATGAAAACACTGACACAACCGACTATAGTAACTTTTGAGCGGTGCTGCATTCTTAGAAGAAGATGAAGTTGTTGATCATTAGGCTTGCACTGGCATACGCATTTAGTATTTCATTATGTGGAGACCAAAATTCTACTCTAAGACCAACTCTCCTTAGAGCTTTGAGGATTTTGTTCCTGTTAGCATAGCCTGTGACAACCACCTTTTGAATGCTACCATCCACCTCAACCTTCTCAATTCCTGTGAATTATACAATTAATTTCCTAGGTGAAATTGAAGCTTTGAGAAGCTTACAGAGAATCATCGTCGTGTTCTGCAGAGTTCCAGAGGAAACCTCTTTTTACCTCTCACTTTGGATAGGCATTTCCTTAGTCTCTTCTCATGTATAGCTACCATCTCCACCTTCAGTTCAATGGTCTGCAATCCAAGTCTCATAAATTCATTATATGAAGGCAGATGCGGTGTTACAGATAGAATTAATGTCAGATGATTATCTGTTGATAGCCTGTAACATATCAACTAAGTCGAACAAACATGCTATTTGTAAATTAAATTTTTTTTCTGTGACTTTAGTTAAAGGACAGTTAGGCAAACTGTTTTTTGACACATGCTTGTTTTTGGCTTCTTTAACATTTATTTTGTTGATTTGATTATTAAGGTAAGAGACTTTGATATTTTTTTTTGCATCTAATGTAGCCCAGAATTTTAGAAAAATGTGTTTCGCGGCAAATATTGCAGAAGTGGAAGGGAGAGATTCCGCTTTCGCTGATCAGCTCATGAAATTTACACAAAAGAAATGACTCCATCTAGATTAGAGAGACCTTAGTATGGGGTATCACGAAGCTCTAACCTGCCCCACCCTACCTTATATGGGATCTTGAGGGAAGATAGCATTCATGGATGAAAAGGTGTCAGAAGAATTTACAACTAACTATCATTGATATCAGTACTTCCAAGATTAAATCTAATAGAGTAGGGGACCTTAGGTTAGGGAAGAATTGGAGAAATCAAATTAATGCTTTTATTGATACCAAAACCAATGGATTTGGTGACTGCACCTAATTGGAATCTGATAAGAAATAATCCATCTAGACCTTTGTATGTGAAATCTGGAATAGACTGAGGAAATCCATATCCTGTAAATCCATCTCATCCATATTTTTCGGAAATGAGTCAGTGTTGTACTAGCCTTCTTTGTTGTTTCTCCTATCAGAATCTATCTAGCTATTTGTTGCACGCTTCTGGAATGGAAGAGCTGGAAACATTACATCGAACAATAGGAAGGAAAATAATGGATTGATCTGAAGGGAAAATATAAATTGTGAAAAAAAAATTCACATAAAATTGCTTTAACTCCTCTTATAATCATTTTATTCAGAATGACGATTCACAAATTTGATTCCGAAAATTTGAAGATTTGTTTTGAATGGAAATAAATCCTTTTGTTCAACCAATGGTTAGCAAATGTTACTTATGCAATTTCATGCCATATGGATGAGTAATCGCAAGAATATATAGGAGATAAAGGTACATTTTAAATTCTAAACGAATAGTCATTGATCAAATCAAGCTCGAGAGATGTATTACCTCCATGCAATGCCAAACTCCTGGCTCAATCTGTTGCTGTTCTGATGATTTGATAATTGGGTGAGAAGAAACAATCGCATGAAAATTAACAACTGGGACCAAATTGAAACAATAGCCGACATCTGCATAACTATATTTATATAGAGAAAGAGAAGGGAAGAGATTCTGATGAAACAAAGTGGGTCTAAGGATTAGAAACAAGGAGAGGATCTTCTTTCCTGCTTTTCGCAAAGAAGGCAAGCAGGACCAGAAACAAAGGAACGGCTTGATCGAGGTGTGATGCTTTGGAGAGCCTCAAGGTTTAGTGCTTTGCCTTCAGGCAAAGCAAGTAAATCAACGGTTGTGATGGGGTAGGAGAGGCTATTTTTGGGCCTAAGCTGACTGTTAAGATCTTTTGATGCTGGCAAAGGAGGAGAGAACAAAAAGAACAGTTAGGAATGTACAAATCCTGCATGCATACTCTTTTTTTTTTTTTAATGAAAAAGTTGAGTGTCGAAATATAAATTTAATTTTATGTAGACAGGAAGCTATTTTAGAACTCTGAAAATAATTGTTAAGATTTTTATTAATTAAATTAGTTGATAATCACTTGCATGTATAATATTATTATAAGAAAAAGGGTAAAAAAGAAAAAGTATAAAGATAAAAGAGAGCTTGGGTTGGGAGGAGGATTACCCTGATTACAACTAACAAACTGTAGACCATGATGCAAGTTTGGTATTTTAAGGCATTATTTTAGCTGTTATTTTTTCCTTTTGCCATCTCGGGAAAAATAAAATGACCAGGTAGGGTCAGACTCTGGGTTGACGGAGACAAGTTATCCTGCAGAGGAATGCTCTTTAGGCCATTCAATTGAGCACAATTTTAACACAATTTATAGTATATGTTTTAAAAAAATATTTTTTGACTACCTTTTTCATTCATATGAAATTTTATGCGTAAAGAGATGCTTCTCAGATCATTTGTGAATCATCATTGTTTGTATAGAAAAATGTCCATTATATCTGAACATGTAGATTAAGTTAAGTGATGTGGCTCAGGATGTCTAGCGAGTATTAAAAGGCAAGTGTCTTGAATGAGTCCTTTGGGATGAATATTTTGGGCAACATCATGAAGGTGCTCGAGAGGCTGAGATAAGCTATGATGCACCGACACTTCTCCTCGAAGAGGCGTGCAGTGTCCGACATCTTGTCGACACGATACTATTTTTATGCTTTGAAATTAAAAAAAAAAGATATTGGCATATAGTCACTTGATTCAGGTGTATTGGTAAGATTTTTTTTTTTTTTTTAAATAATATTTTGGATTGGTTGATTTGATATTTGGATGACATCTCGCGTTACTAAAAAATTTAGTTAGGTCGGGCAAAAGAATATGAGGGAGAATAAATCAGTACGGAGAGAAACTAAGAAGTCAAATAATTTATATGAACAGTTGAAATTACATGAAGTTCAAAATATTTATAGGGTTAAGAGGATTATAGAAAATATTACATTTAGAGAAAAATACATATATTAAAAGAATATATGATTTAACAAGCATAGATTGGTACGAACTTGTAGATTAAGTTGAGTGATGTGGCTCAGGATGTCTGGCGAGTATTATGTGTAGCTGGCAAGTCCTTAAAAGCGAGAGCATTGGCTGAGTTTTGAAAGGCAAGTGTCTTGAATGAGTCCTCTGGGATGAATTTTTTGGGCAATATCATGAAGGTGAATGCTTGAGAGGCTGAGATAAGTGGTGAGTCTCTCGGTTCGAGTGATGAGTCTTCTAGGCAAGTGTGGTTGTGAGTCAGGAACAAACATAGTTGATGGATTTATGATCATGAGCTTTGTAGTTGTTTACTTACTGTAGCTTGGATTGAGATATATTTGGAAGAAAAATGATCTTCATTGGATAGAAATGTTGAAAGAACTCAGTCTTTAAAAGGCGAGTACTTCAAATGAAGGTTTGGTAAGATGAATTCTCTAGTCTAACTTGGTTGGAAAATGTGCATCATTGATCGAGCTCCTTGGGGGTGAACTCCTATAACACCAGCTTGATTGGGGTGAATATATTTCTGTCTCTGATGTTTGCTCAAGCGAATACTCCTTATAGCAAGGCTCATTTTGGATGAGTGATACCGAGCGAAGGGGTGAAGTGACATATTTTGATTGATTTCAGGATAGTATTCGGCACAAAAATAATTTTTCCATTGGTCTTTGGCCTATCTAAGTAGATTTTTTTTTATATGTGAAACTCTTTCTCATTTATTGCACGGTCTTTTAACCAAGCTCACCACATATTCAGATTTACCCTAAGTTTTGTTCGCTTTACGTAACTGTCAAGAACTTCGTGTATGCTTCTTATTTTTATGCCCTTTCAACTCACATTTAAAATAAAAAAAATTTACAGAATTTTAATTATTTTATAAAACAATACTATAACAGATATGTATAGCACATAAAATGTGTCATATGATTTATAATATAATACATAATTTAAATTATTTTATAAAATAGCAGATGCATGCAGATGCATGCAACATACAAAATAAATTGTATAACGTTACACATTTCTACGCAACATAAAATTTCAATCATGTTGCAAAGAGACATTTATAGTCTTATTAAATAAAAATCCTTTTAAAATAAGAGTTGTTAAACGTTATATGCAATAAAAATATAGTAATATTATTATGTACACGTTTATAAATGCCTATATTTATTCATATAGGTGTTTATATAAATAGTTTTACATTCATATAATAAATTGTTATATATTTAGGGCTCTCTGCCTGGAAAAAGTATTACGTCCAGTGTTCGGATTCATCCGGACATCAATTCAAATGTGCCACATCATTTAGATACACCTGAGTCCTAGTGTATCTGGATGACATGATACATCTGAATTGGTATCCGGACGGTCCGATTAACGTACGTAATAATTTGCCCTCCGCCTGTTCTGTACTTGGACGGGGGACATGATCTCATAAATGACTGACGAAACCTTTGGAGTCAATGGTGAGTCCTCGTAGATACTATTTAGCATTGATTAAAACTGCAGGAATTATTTAGTAACAGTAAAAAAAAAAGCTGTAATGAATCTGTTCGGTGTAGAACTTAAATTTATTGTTATTTATCGTACATTTAACAACTGTTTAAATTATGATGAGAGCCCTTTAAAAAAAAAAAAAAACAGCCGAGTCTCTCTTCTATGTCAAGAAAATCTCTGTTGCATGCCTTTGTCATCCGTTGATTAATTGGGAGATTTTAGTCACCATTTTTTGACATCTGTCCATTTTTTTTTTTTAACGAAATATCTACCTGCTGCCACCCCTCTTAAGAGGCGTTTGGCGGTGTAAATAATTCTTCTGCGAGCCTACAAGCAATGAGTCCCATAGGTGCAAGATCTGCAGTTATTCTCTCCCCACACAAGGAGTTGTACCGCATGAGAGGATTTGAATATGGGTTGGGGGGTTTTCAATCATGCTTGCCCACCAACTCAGCTAAGCCCAATGGAATTGTTTATTATTATTATTATTATTATTATTTATCATTGAAGGTTTGCATTAGTCTTTATATTATTTTCTTTAATTTTTTATTTTTATATTATATTTTATTCTTTGGATATTAAGTATATATATGGCTTAAATTTATGAAAATAATTTTTTTTCATGTTTAATCATATTTTGCTGAATAATAATTTTAAACTTATTTTATTTAATAATGATACGTCATGCGAAAATTAACTTGATCGGGCACGAATCTCGAGGCAAAAATCAAGTTGGAAACTTCAAAAATTAAATCCGGAAGCACCTGAACTCCGATTTCAGCGAGCTTATAGTCAAACTGAGCGTCTCGGAAATACGAATCCAACGACACCAAATTCGACCCAATCTGAGTCCAAATAAAAAAGCTAAGTTTGAATGCGGAAATTTACTTGATGATGAGATAAAAAATAGTTAAAGATATTAGCTTTGGGATAAATTTTATTATATTGCTTTCTACAAATAATTTTTTAATAATTAAAATTTTTACACTAAAAACAAATCATACCTAAACACCAGTAAAAATATTTTGTCCCAAATGAAAGCAATAACATCAGAAGGGGGATCCAAAATAAAATAAAAAAAATTTATAAATAAAAATGGTAAAATTGCTTTAATGATAGGCTACAAATTGGGCCCCGGATTAAAAAATACAAATCAGTACCATACATAAGGCTTTTAAAGGCATTTCCATTCTCTCCATCTAGTGTGATTAGTGGAATTATCAAGAGATTAATAATTTACCCAAATAAAAAAAGAGATTTATAATATGGAAAATAAAATAAAAATTTGATCACGGATCGAAGAGAAAAATTTATTCAAATCATATTTTAAATCTTATTCATTTTCTTTGGCAAAAAAACTTATAGTAGTGAATAGGTGAAGTGATAAAAGAGACAACTATATTAAACCTCTGGTAACCTCTAAATAAAAAAAATGTAAAATAGACCAAAGAAAATGAAGAGGAACAATCTTAAACGTATCCTCCTGAAGCTTTTAAAGCATATCGCCAGCCATCTCCCCAAACTTCGCGATTCTACTTCTGATTGTCGGGTGGGCTTAATTGATAATATCAACGGCCTGAATTAAGAGATTTCATGTCATATTTTGATTTAATTAATTCATAAATTTATTAAATTTAAAATAAATTTAAATTATTACTTGAGCAAAAAAGATATTAAACCAAGAACAAAAAAAATTATTATAAATTCCAGCCATTATTACTTACTTATACTAAAGAATAAAATATAATATAAAAATAAAATTAAAGAAATAATAGAACTAATGCAAACCCTCATGATCAATTTTAATAATAATAAAATTAATAATTAATAAAACAATTCATATGGCTTAACTGAGTTGATGGAGCAAATAATGGAAGCCCCCCAACCCCTATTCAAATCCTCAATGCCGGCACAGAACCCCCTTTTGTGTAGGGGAGAGAAAAAATAACTGGCAGATCTAATGCACCTATGGGACTCATCTGTCATGCTCGCAGAAGAATTATTCACACCCGCGAAACGCCTCTTAAAGAGGGCAGCCAGATATATATATTTCGTTACAAAAAAAAATATGGACAGATGTCAAAAATGGTGACTTTAAATTTCACCAATGATTAATCAACGGATGACAAAGCCATTTGCAACCAAGAGATTTTCTTAACATAGAAGAGAAGACTGCTGTTTTTTTTTTTTTTTTTTTTTTTTTTTTTTAAGTGCTCTCATGATATTTAAACATGTCTACAATGTTACGATACAATCAAACAAATAAATATTTAAGTTATATACAAGAACTCAACAGTTTCCTTCACGCCTTTTAATTTAAGGATATGTAAGCAACTTCCTCTGTAATTAGCGCATATCATTGAAAGAAGAAGGGAGGTAGGCCAGCGCGCGCTGCTGCTAGCTTTTGGTACCACCGTCGGAATCCTGCCTTCACATAGTATCCTACGACAGCAAGACTCCGCTCAGTTTTGACTCCGAAGTCCTCGGTGCCTCTGTATATGAGAATTGGATCGCCTTCGGCGTTCTCCCACCGTCCAGTACAGACAGGCGGGGGCAAATTTTGACGTCGGATCGCTCCGGGATCACGTATTAGAATATAATATGCTAATGGGGTATTTCCAGATTACTTCAATATGCATTGGGAGGAAGGAACCTCTCTCTAGCATGCACGCCTGAGTTTTGTCGGATGAATGTCGCTTGGCGCCTTTCTTTGAAATCAGTTTTGTTCTAATATGGACAAGGAAAACCACCTTTCGGGGCTCCTTCCACTCGAGATCGTTACCACCGTGGACTAGCCTGGAACCGTAATATTAACTTTTTCTAAGCCCAGAGAGCCACCTACCTCCAAAATGTTAAGGGATATTTAAAACCTTCATCGTGTGAATGAGAATGGAAGTGTAAGAAACAGCACTAATTATTTCTTCACATTTAGGATATCATTTACGACCGAGAGGTATAGAAGGACAGAGAC